TGTCAGGTAAACGTTACTTTGTTTTGTTTAAAGATGGTGCCACTGATTATCGCCATGTGTTTTCCCTGAAGTGTAAGTCTGAAGCACTAGTGTTTCAAGAAATAATGCTTTAGCGAACAATCAATTTCAACATGATGTACGTATCCTACACACAAATAATGGTGGGGAATATGTAAACAACGATTTTAAAGAGTACTTAGAAAGAAAAGGGATAGTTCAAATCATCATTTCTGAGGTTACAGCTTAATTACTCATTTTCTCAATGAAAAGAGGATTGAAACTAAACCTCAATCTGAATACTAATATAAATACTAATTTGTTTAAGTTACAGCCGCTATATCCCCTGACACAGCGGGATACTACCTGTTTAAGATTTTTAATATTTTCTACTTCTATGGGGCTTAAGTCATGGGATCGAGCTGACCAAAAAATAACTTTTATTTTAAGATGATTGATAAACCGTTCACGAACAACGCTGGCACGGTGAATGGGACAGTTGTCTTGCACAAAACTTATCTTGCTCACGTCTTCTACAGGGTAGACATTACGCACCGTAGGCAACATAACATCGTTCAACACTTCCACATAATTGACACTGTTGGCTCGCGTTGAAATAAAACTTAATTCGTCCGGCCCTGGAGCACATATCCACCCCCACATATTCACTATTCACAAAGTCCAAATATTCCCGGGCAAAACGTAACCTCTCCTCTTTATGCCGTTGCGTTACAAACGGTGTTTAGCTGTCATTCGGACTCTGCGGCGAACGATGCGTGTTGATGTTCTGAACTCATCAGCAAAACGCCTTGTTGGAATGAAACCATTCGTCTCATAATCAGCTACCATATAACGTCACCGAAGGAAAAGAGGTGGTTTTCCACTCCTAACACGAGTCTTCAGACTACCTTCTTCCTCAAATCTCTTCACCCAATGCCTAGTAGTTTCTCTCTAAAAATAAAAATATAAATATTACTCACTTGCAACAAGCAATTTATCTATATTATTTTGTAGGTATCATGTTATAAAGTTAAAAAAATTACTTACGCATAAGCGCCGGTTTCATTCGATATTTGAGATATCAACATATAAACATACCATTTAAACATAAGGCCACAATATTTGCCTTGGTTTCAATACTAGTATTAGCTGCAAAAAATAAAATCACAACACCAGGATAACACAAACACTCGTAGCTATGTTCACCAATCAACAACAGCGAATACCGGAATAATTTATGTTAGTAGAAAAGTAGTTAAATATGAGGGTGGATTTAAAGCGAACTTGTCACTTTGTTTCACATCTACCCTCTTATTTTGATAACGATGTTAAGATAAAAATATAGAAGGTCCTAAGCGCCACTAATATTGCTATACAAAAGTGTTTTCGCCCAGAGGCCACGGTGGAACACACTGTAGCAGAATGCCCTGCGTGGGCTGAGCACCACCGTGCCCTCAGGGAAGTGATCGGCGATGGCGACCTCTCGCGTCCGGGCCTAGTGCAGGCCATGATGCGGAGCGAGGGGGACTGAGATGCCGTCTCCTCCTTTTGCGAAGCAGTCATGCTAGCTAAGGAGGAGGCGGGACGCGTGAGGCAGCGAAGCGCTGCCTCCTCGCAACCCAGCCATCGCGAAGGACACACCGGGCGTCGGGGATCGCGGGACGATCTCTGGCCACCGTAAGCGCGGGCCTGGGGACGGCGAGCATTGGTGGCTCCCCGTCCGACTAGAAACAGACCCGAGCGTACGGCTTGTCGCGTTCCGCGCGCGCCTCAAAGAGCCATCAGACCACCACAGATGGGGCCCAATACGGCCGATGCCGATTCGGAGTCGCGGAGAACCCAACGGGTAACCGGGGCTCCGACTCGACGTGCAGGAGAAGGAACGGGGTGGTTTTTAGTCAGTAATAGTCTGACACTCCCTCCCGCCTCACCCAGGCGGGAGAAGTCATTCGATGATTTTCCCCCTTAAAAAAAATGCAGATGTGTTTTGACTTTGGAAGTCCACTTCAGACCTTGACCGTACCTATAATTGATTTAAACTATAAAATGCTGGGAAATGTTAGAACATAGGTATAATAATAAGAGATTTGTGTCCACGTGTATTTTAAATCGACTATTTGGCCAACGTAATAATGTAAACGAGTCGTCAAAGGCACTTAAATATTTACTTGACGTGACTTGTGATTGTTTGGACGAACTCACTAATATTGGCATTGATGTTAGTTCTTGGGATGTTATTATTATTTATGTTGCAAGCTTGAAGTTCAACGTAGAATCTAGGAAGCAGTGGTAACGGCATGTTAGTAAATCATTCGATGATCTACCTTCCTTTAAACAGTTTTGCGAGTTTTCGGAAACACGGTTTCGTTCTCTCGAATGCGTTGAACCTAAACATAAATTATAAGTCGATCATCATCCTACATCTCACACCAAGGTCATGCACGGTACGACTAATATGTTATGTCCACACTGTTCTGAGAGTCACAAACTCTTAAGTTGTAAGAAGTTTTCCCAACTAGATGTGGACGAACGTCGTGCCGTATTAATCTTTGGGTGTCTGTTTCAATTGCTTGGGAAGTAATTATACTTCTAAATACTGCCGTGTTCTTTCTAAATGCCGTATTTGTGCTGCTACATCCGAAGAACCATAGTGGAGCCATTGGGGTTACTGCGTCAGGGGAACCTATTCACCCTGAACTTGGATGTTCTTCAGAGCCAGTCCATGATGTCAAAGCATCTCATTGTGTGAATGAACAAATGCAGGGTCAAGTCCTCTTCGCTACAGCTTTGGTCAAAGTTGAAGCACAAAATGGGTCCTCTCAGGTTTTGAGAGCTTTGTTGGATCAAGGATCACAAGCATCCTTTATAACTGAGTCAGCTGCGCAATTACTTCGTTTAAGGAGAGTAGTCTCAAAGACAGGTATAGGAGGTGAGCATAGCAAGATCGTTTCTAAACATGTGGTGAATATTGATATTCAATCGTTGCATGATTCCTCTTATACCATAAACGTAACTGCGCATGTATTAAGTTCACTGACATCAGTTATGTCAGATAAGAACGTCAACCTTGACAATTGGCTAGAAATTCACAGAATACATCGAGCCGACTTAAATGTCAGTCGTTCTAATAAAATTAATATTTTATTAGGGGGGGAAATATACTGCCGTATTTTCAAGGAAGGTCTGATCAAGAGTCCTACAGGCTCTCCGGTCGCACAAGACACGCATTTAGGTTGGATTGTGTCAGGCTATGTTAGTTAGGCAGATAGCTCTCTAAATTTTCATAATACTATAATCACGATGTAAGTACACTCAAATAGAAGACAATGACCAGTTAAAACGTTTATGGGAATTGGATTCTGAACCTGCTATAACGAAAAAGCTTCTCACGCCTGAAGAACAGGCCTGCAAAGAGTTTTACGCACAATCGACAGTGAGAGATGTTAATGGGAGATATGTCGTAACGTACCTTTTTGTTCCGAAGATCCACCTGTAAATACAGTAATTCTAAAAATATACCTAGCTGTAAAAAGATTGCTAGGTTTACAAAGGAAGCTGGGTAGGGATGATGAATTAAAACAACAGTATGCTGATGTAATAAAAGAAAGTTTATTGCTGGGTCATATGGAGCAAATCGTTGACGAGGATGAAATAAATAAAAACGACGCTGTTTATTTACCTATTCACGCAGTGGTTAGACAGGATAAATTAACCACTAAGGTAAGAGTGGTTTATGACGCGTCATGTAAGGGAACGAACGGGGTTTCCTTAAATGACACCTTAATAGTGGGACCCTTCAGGCAGACAGGTTCATGAAGATGAAACATATTGTTAAATTTGTGTACATAATGATCATCTCCATTCTTTCTTGTAATTACCGTGGCGCCAGAATTCGACGACTTTTTTCTCACACAATTCCAGTAGAACACATTATCACACTTTTTATTAATCATATATAAAAACCCATCAAGAAACAAAAGGTTTTTATTTTTATGCGACATAACAAACTCACATTTACTGTTCTCCATTTTTACGAATGATTTAAAATGATCCAGCTGTATCACTGTTGTATGACAACAAATTACTATCTACCCTCACAATTTCTATAATTTTGCAATAAGAAAATAACATCCCTACTCTTTATGACCTGATGAGTTGTTGGATTCATGATTCGGTAACCTTTAATGCTTTCACAGTAGCCCACGAAGATCATCTGCATAGCCTTTTTGTCCCATTTTAAATCGTTTCTGCTTTGGTACATGGACCATCACCTTAGAACCAAATATTCTCAAATGACTCAGTTTTGGTTCTTTTCCTGACCATAATTTGTATGGTGTAGTGTCCTCCAAAACTCTAGTAGGTGATCGATTTACTAAGTATGCAGCAGTGGCTATGGCTTCTGCCCATATTGGTTTACTTAAGTTTGCATAAAACATCATACATCTGGCCTTTTCTACCAAGGTCCTATTCATTCGTTCAGCAAGGCCATTTTGCTGATGATGCCACATTTTATCAAATAATTTTCAAAATTGGAATTACAGTACTCTTTACCATTTTCAGTTCTGATGGCTTTGATCTTATCATTCAATTGTTTTTCTACTTTACTTTTAAAATCTTTAAAGACTTCTAAAATATTTAGTTTATCTTTCATGAAATAGATAAAGACCATTCTAGAGTAATCATCTATAAAGGAAATGAAATATTTCATACCTCCATAAGAAGTGTTTTCCATTGGTCCACATAGGTCTGAGTGTATAACCTCCAATGGCTTGGACGCTCTGGTACCTATGTGCTTAACTCGTATCATCCCAGTGTTCCATTTTTAAAACGGTTACTTTTATAAATTTTTTTTCTAATTTTTGAACGCATTTTTAAATTTTTTTTTTCATGTTGGTATTACCGCCATTTCTAGCTGTCAGTTCTATGAATGTCATTTCACTTTGCGCGCTTTTTTCATATCGATAAAAAATATTTTATTTGATCGTTTTTAGCGACCAGGAAAATGTAAGTAATTATGGTGTTTTATATTATACTATTGACAATTTAGGGATTATACAAATGTAATAATATTGTTATATCGTGTCATAATACGTTTTTGGAAAAAACGTTGCTAATTTGTGGGTAAGTGCAAGTTTTATATACTGTTCCATTATTGGAGCAGTAGGAACATACGCACATGTAACGTTTATACATTCGGATTTTTATTTTATGAGTATTGACACCTAATTATGATATTATTTTATTGCAGACTAAACGTGAATGAGATAATTTCGCACTTGGAGGAAGACGACGACGTGTTCGGGGCTGATATTTTCATCACACCTCCTGATAATTGGCAAAATAGCGACGAAGACAGTGGTGACGAAGAGTTTGCAAGTATAAATAATTTGTCAAGAAATCAGTTACTTGCAGAAGCTGAACTTCGGGTCACCAGATCGTCTGAGTCTAGGATAGTGAACGAGTTCGTTGGTTACGAAAAAGAAGTGCACTCAATACCTTCCACATCGTCAGCATCGCAGCCTCCACAACCCTCTTCGTCGACGGTGACCCAGCCACCTCCAAAAAAAAGACGTCTTGAAGTCACAAGAAAGTGGAGGTTTGTTGATATTCCAGAAAAGCCTGAGAAGGAGTACTGTGAACCGGATTTCTTGGAAAACCTGGAGAACCCAGTTCAATTTTTTGAACTATTTTTTGATGAAGAGGTATTCGAATTACTGCGGTCAGAAACAGAAAAAAATGCGATTCAGAAGGGTAAACATGCTTTTCGGGTTACTACGACGGATATAAAACATTTTATCGCCATTTTATTATTATCGGGATATAACAGTGTATCGAGATATAGAATGTATTGGGAACAAAGAGTTGATTGCAGTTTTCCAACAGTGGCTGCTCTTATGTCGAGAAATCGTTTTGAAGATTTGTTGCGTTATTTCCATGTTGCCGACAATAATAATCTTGACCCCAATGATAAGTTCGCTAAAGTGCGCCCTCTATGGAAACTGCTCAATGCAAGATGGCTAAAGAATTATCCTGGAGATAAAAATTTGAGCATTGACGAATCTATGATTCCCTATTATGGAAAACATGGCACTAAGCAGCATATCCATGGAAAGCCAATTAGATTTGGATACAAATATTGGTCGATTTCTACGCGACTTGGCTACTTGATTTATGGCGAGCTTTATCAGGGAGCTAGTACCGGAAATACGCATCCTGAGTTAGGTGTTGGTGCCTCAGTTGTTTTGGACCTAATATCGAAGCTTCCGCAAGGTAGCTACAGTTTTTATTTCGATAATTTTTTTACTTCATTACCACTGCTTGAAGAGCTTCAAAAAATGGGTCACGATGGAACGGGGACTATACGAGCTAATCGAACTGAGAAAGCACCTCTCAAAGATCCAAAAGAAATGAAAAAAACAAGTAGAGGATCTTATCACCAATGTACTGATGTACTATCTAATATCACTCTCGTTAGATATAACGACAATAACATTGTCACAGTGGCCTCGACTCAATGTGGTTCAGAACCCATAAGCAAAGTCAAACGATACTGTGATAAGCAGAAGAAGGATATTGACCAACCTCGTTGCTTCGTAAAATACAATAAATATATGGGGGGCGTAGACCGACTTGACCAAAACGTGGGTTGTTATCGAATCGGGATTCGGCTGAAAAGATGGTACTGGCAGTTACTTATGTTTCCACTAAATGTTGCTGTCAATAACGCTTTTCAGCTGTACAAGATATCTCCAGCTTCAAAGAAAAGTAACGGTACGCCACATGATCTTTTATCGTTTACGAGGGATATTGTTTGTACATATTTTCTAATGAAAAATTTAGTCCCTAGTACTTCAACCATATCAAATCCTAAATCTTCACTAGCAGTAATAAAACGTGTGCCTGATGCTGTTAGATTAGATGGTAAAGGACATCTAATTGACAAACAAAATAAACAAACTCGATGTGGTTTATGCCACAAAAATACAACTATGAAGTGTATCAAATGTAATGTTGCCTTACATAACAAATGTTCTATTATTTTTCATACTGAATAACATGCCTAATAATAGTTTTTTATGTAATAACTATAATATGTAATAAATACGTTAATTTGTATAAGATTTTATTCTACTAGTAATAGAGAGAATACTAGTTTTATTTCCAAACGGATTCCATAGCCAGTAAAAGTATCTTACATGCATGTATAATCCTAGTGTTCCATTATTGGATCGGTTCTGAAACTAAAAATCTAAATGAGATATATTTTTTTTTGACAAATAGGTTTCATTAGACATCTAAAAATATGCCCAGATTCGATTTTCATAAATATTGGATATGTTTTACTATGGTTGGGATGATACGAGTTAAATGGCAACCTTGTCTGTTTCCCTTCAAGACAAGAGCAACGTAAGTTTTTACAATCGTTCACAAGATGAGTAACAAAGGGGACAAGAGCGCCATCTATAACTGTCAAAATACAGGAACTAAAATGGTTGCGTTCCATTTCCAATACAAATTAACCTCGAAGCACCCTAACAAACCAGGTAAACCTAAAATTTTTACTGAAGAGGAAGAAAACGCTTTTGAAGCTCAAATATAACTGCGCTTTCAGAGTATGGGTTTCCACTGAGAGCATTCGACCTAAAAATGATAGTTAAAAATTATTTCGCATCCCAGGGAAGAAGAGTTGAGAAAATATTTAGGAACAACATTCCTGGTAAAGACTGGTTGGCTTCTTTTCTATCAAGACATCAGTCTTTATCACGGCGTCTTCCTAATAATATCAAAAGAATCAGAGCTCAAGTGTCGGAAAATGTTATTTCCGATTTTATTGAAAACATCGACAAAGAACTAGACAGCGTTCCACAAGAAAACATTTATAACTACGACAAAAGCAACCTTTGCGATGACCCAGGAAAAAAGAAGGTATTATGCAGAAGAGGTACAAAATATCCCGTAACTATAATAAATGCTACCAAAGTAAATTTTACGGTCATGCTCTGTGGCAACGCCGCCGGTGAAGTAGTTCCACCGTTCACGGTGGGTGACCCAAATAAAGCCTATGTCTTAATAAGGCCTATGTCTTAAATTTTCCGCGTCACGATTTGAAATTGCTGCCAATATTTGTGGATGAGTGCGTGTACATTAACTAACACCCACAAACTAAGCAAGCGGCCCGTGCCGCGAGCGTGTTGGAACTTGCAGTCGAAAACAGCAACGACACGGAGCGCACGCTTGTTTTATAAAATTCTGGACGAGTAAACAGTAAGTATTTTTATATTTATTTGTATACGGTGTGCTGTGTTTTGTCTATAGGTTAATTATACGTGTAGCCATTTCCTCGAAAAAGTGACAAAGCTATGATATCGGTGTATTGCATATAATTGTTGTTTTGTTTACCCATGTGCCATGTGTAATAAGGCCTACAAAAACCTTATAATGGCACACGTACAGGCCTTATTAAGATAATGTTTTATGTCAGTTAGAAAACTATCACAATAAAACATACGACTCTTGTTTTCAGTAAAATCATGGAAAACGAATCACCAGCTACTACCACTAAGAAAAAAAGGGCTCAATGGACTTCACAACAGATGGAAAATGCTGTCAAAATGGTAGAAAGAGGAATATTATCTACATATGCTGCTGCAGTGAGATACAACATCCCAAGAAGAACTCTATGCAACCATCTGGCGAGTGGGTAGACACGAAAGCTAGGTCGGTTGACTATATTAACTCCAGAACAAGAAGCAGAACTTGTCAGAAGGACCAAACGTTTAGCTGATGTTGGAGTGCCGTTGACATAAAAGACGTTACGAATACAGGCTTTCGCATTTTGTAAAATTAACGAAATTCCAAACGCTTTTAATGATGCCAAATATGCCGCGGGGAAGAAATGGTTAAGGCTATTTCTTAAACGGCACGTCGTAAAGCACAGGTGACGAATCCAGCTCGTGCTAAAAAATTAAATAAAGATATTGTTGGCAATCACTTTTACAAATACAAAAGAGTTTTAAAATTCATTGAGTGATATTTAGAAAGAAATATGACAAATACTGTATGTATTTTGGCCGATTAGAAAAATTCGTATGTGCAGAAATGCACTTAAAGGATTTGCGTTCCGTCTTCAATCACCCACAACTGTGCGCGCGGAGAGGCCGCATTGTGGTGTAAACAACATTATAAAAATAGTTTTTTGTGTTAAAAATAAATAAAAGTGGTAAGTACGTACTTAAACTGTGTTGTCTTTATATAATACCGTAAGCCATTCATCAGTAACTTGTCAATTATAAGTTTCTAAACAATATTCTAACCTATAAAATACACTTCCAGACACCTAAATCGAGCCACCTTGATTTTTTTGGTTTGGTTTTTTGGTCTGTAACTTGTAAAAAATCTATGTAGAAGGAAAATGTTTTGATGCAGTTTTGGAGCTGGTTTAATCAACATTCATTTAGAGTGCCACTGTTCTAAATTTGAACTAAAGTTTAGTAAAAAAGTCGAGTTACGTTGAAACAACTGATATTTGCTTTTTTTCAAAGAAAAAAATGTAATCGATTTTTAAATAAAAAAATGTTTTAAATGAAAAGAAATGTTTATTTAGTAACTTGTATTGCCTCCCCGTGCATTTATGACAGCTCTCATACGGTTTGGCATAGAATTAATCAATGTCGTTATGACATGTTGAGGAATGTCCTCCCATTCTTCCAAAATTACATTTTTGAGCTCCTCCGTAGTTTGCGGGGCAGGATGATGAGCTCGAACACGCCTCTTCAGCTCATCCCATAGATGCTCTATAGGATTCATATCAGGACTTCGCGCTGGCCATCTCATAACAGTGATACCAATGTCATTTAAGTACTGCCTGACGATTCCCGCAGTATGGGCCCTTGCATTATCATGCATTAAAACGAAATCTCGGCCAATAAATCCAGCATATGGCATCACGTGGTTCTCTAAACATTGGCGAATGTATCTATTGCCATCTAGGGGCGGCAGTCGTGGTCCCGTTACTACCTCTAGCTCAGTTTTGCCTTCCATAGAGATTCCTCCCCAGCACAGTCCATGATCCTCCACCATAACTCACTCTTTCGTCAATACAACATTGCGCGAAACGCTCGTTCTCTCTTCGGTACACCTTACTCCTTCCGTCATTACCGTATAGCATTATCTTGGACTCATCTGTGAAGAGAACCTGGCTCCATTGATGTCGAGTCCAATTTAGATGTTCGCGCGCAAACTCTAAACGGGCTATTCGGTGAGCTCGTGTCAATTTGGGTCCATTGGCTGGCTTATGGGGCTTTAAACCACGTTCATTGAGTCGCCTTCTATCGGTCCGAGCACTTACAGCCACTCCGTGAAAGTCCCTGAGCTGTTCTTGTATTTGAACAGAGGTAAGGCGTCGATTGCGTACGCTGGTAGTGACAATGTATTGATCTTGTCTCGCCGTTGTCACCCGGTAACGAGGTCCTCCTGTTCGCCGAACGAAACCGCCAGTCTCTAGGTATCGATGGAACACTCTTTGGACAGCGGAACGACTTATGAGAAGTTGTGAACTCACATCTCACTGACTTAGCCCAGATTGAAGTGCTACAGCTTGCGCGGCTATTTCAGGTGAAGTATCCATAATTTTATAGCCAAAAGCGATTCAAATTAAAGAAAAAAAACTAAACTAAACTTTGGTTAACAAAAATAGCGAAAAATTGAAATTGAAATTAAATTGCTTCAAAAGTAACTTTCTACAGCCATTATTTTTTTCAAATCCGTGACCAAGCTCGGCTTTTGTTCTTTGTTTTAAAATCTTAAATTCAAATTTGGAAGAATACATACGAGAAAGAAGATGCCAATATGCCAGCATTTGAAACGCATAAAAACTTTTTTGTTATATTGCATATATTTTGTGTAAAGGGCTTTCAGGCCCGGGAATGTATTGTGGCTCGATTCAAGTGTCCGGAAGTGTAGACTTGTGTACCTATCGTACATATTGTTCAGTTATCAGTGGATTTATTACTACAATATAATTACAATAACTAAAAATATCGTAACTGATAAAAGCTTTACAAGCTTCTGAGTATTTGAGTGTGTGATTGTTTTAGAAATGTTGTTATTATAACTATACTAGCTTTTACCCGCGGCTTCGCACGCGTCACAAAAGGATAAAAAGTAGCCTATGTGACTATCCATCCCTTCAACTACCTTCAGTTAAAAAATCACGTTAAGTATCTTCGTTTTGCCGTTTAAGACAGGCAAAGAAACAAACAGCTGTTCGCTCGCGTGGAATTCGGTTTTATCGCGCTTTTTAGATTTTTCCGTGGGAATGAGAAGTTCTGACGAGGTAAAGCCTTGCTTTTCCAGGACTCAAACTACCTTTATACCAAATTTCTTCAAAATCCGTTCAGCTGTTTAGCGTGAAAGAACAACAGAAGGATTTATTTTAGCATCACCACATATACCATCCTCCCATTTCAATTTAAAATACTTTTATTTTATTTCTTTATTTATTTTCTTCTTCACAAAATACAACAGTGAATGGCGGACTTTATGCCTTAAGGCATTCTCTTACAGTTAACCATAGGGAAGTGCAGAGAAATGAAGTGGTTGATGCGAAGCCAGAACACAATTGAAAAAAAGAAAGTTATGTAATACGTATACTACACACATAAATACCTATAGAATAAATATAAATATTAGTACAATATTTTATAAATCTGTATAGACATATACATACCATATATTTCCTATAAGGGTTTCATATGCAATGTTAAACCAAAACTGAGTGGTAAACTATATTATACGTTTTACCTTTGGGAGCAAAAACGTGTAGATTTTGGGCACTGGATACCTGGAAACACGCTACATAAAGCTGACCATGCGAAAAACAATGTTTTTCTAAGTGTACTCCAGCAACTCTCATAGTTTGGCCTTGTGCTTTATTAATGGGCATTGCAATAATCGGAATCCGAGGAATGAGTACACTTTCACCTTTTGCTGCGCCAGTTAAAATAGTTGCTGTAATAATATTCCGCCCAAGCTGCGTGACACACAGCCTGGTACCATTACACAGTCTAGGAGCATCAAGATTACGCAGGAGCATCACTGGAACCCCTACTTTTAATTTTAATTTATGAGAGCCTTCTCATAAACACCTCAGATATTTCCAAAGAATTTAAGAACTCTACAGGATATGAGGTACTATGTTCTGTTTCTACCACTGTGTCTACAGATAAATATTCAGTAGTTTCCCCCACAACTTCATCCAAAATATTTTCATTTATTTTAGTGAACTCCGATTCACCGCCCACAACATTACAAAACTCTTCCGTTAAAGTAATTCCCTCTGCATCTACTGTCATTTTCCGTCACCGATATTTAACAATGTTTCCGCATAATGACCCGATTGAATGTCGTTGAATAATCTCACTCGCATATTTGTGGTTAATTGTAACTTTATGACATGGTCCCATAACTTAGACCGTTCTCATTCTCAGAGGGGCTCCTGAGAATGAGAAGAAAGAAGACTTCTCAAAGAAGCTGGCGAGCGGCTTGCTCCTCAAGTCTTTGCTGGCGCTGAGATGGTAGCTCAGCAGCTCTCGAAGCAGCCTGACGGTCTGCTTGATCGCGCCTTCTTAATTTAGCATGGAGCAATTTTCATTGCCCGAGTTTTAGATGAGGTGCTCAACAAATTATATTTAAACTTAAAACTTAAAAACTATAAACTTAAATTATAAATAACTAACTACTATACTACTAATTAAAAAAAAATTTAAAAATACAAAATACTAACTAAAACTAATATAAAAAATAAAGTCCAAAATAAAAACTAGGTCAACTATAACAATCTAAACGAAAAACAAAGCGACGTAATTCCCTATCGGAAACCTAACTACTTTAGATATCTACTTAGAAATAAACCACTTCACTAATCTAACCTAACTAATATACAGCTACTGTATCAATCAACGTAGTCGTAAACAATGAACAAAGCGACATAAAACGACGAAAAAAAAATAACTACTTCGGATAATAATATCTACCTAGAATAAATGACACTTGACTAATCAAACCTACAGAGCGAACGAATAAAAATCAATCATTGTGCTAGATGTGTACATCGAAATACAATTGTTTTTTTTTGGTAGGACCACTTGTAGTTCAACACGCTAAGGCTGTTGACTACATAACCGGACAAAAATATAATTGTTACGGAAGCTCGGAACCTATACTTTTGCCGGTAACGAAACCATAGCGCCATCTAACTCGATCCTAACGCTATCTAACGGGCGTTGAAACAACTGCGTAGATACAATATATTTGCTAATTGTTGAGTATTGTTGCCATTATGATTTCCTGTACCTTTAACAACCTAAAATCTATAAAATACGCAATTTAATGTAAAATGGTTGGAACTAAAATTTAAAATTAATCTCAGTGTCAGAAATTTCGCTTAGTGATGAGGAAATGAATAACGAACAAAGGAACTTTAATAAGTTGAAAAGGGTATGTAGCAAAAAATATACCTACAGGCAGAAAAAGGAAGTGTGAGTTCTTGCTCGTTCTTCTCCATTCGAATCTACGTTTTGGAATGAGCACCTAGCTTCACCTAGCTTCACTGACGGACTGACTGACAGACTATTATTTATTTTGAATTTGTTGACGTTTCAAAAGTACCAAACTATGGTTTAATTGAAATAAATGCTTTGACTTT